CTTGTAGGAACTTTTTGCATTTTGTTTTGATTATGAAATTGATTTAGCAGCAGGCGTAGCTAAAAGTAAGACAGTAAGTAATTAATTAAGTAATCTAATTCTGCTTTAAAATGTATAAAATGATGAAGGTTATATGATATTTTTATCTGAAAGTACTGTACTGCCGAAGGATAGGACTGCGAGTTACTCAAAAAAATGGGTTTGAACAACTTGCAACAGAGTACCAAGTTCTCTACAGTCGACCATCTTTTATTTAACTCGCTGACTGATTTCCAACCTTCTGGCGAGCTGATTTATAGAAAAAGTAATTACTTGCAGGGGAATCTACTAGAATCTGCAGCATTCAGGCCAACGCGCTTTACTCCTCTGTCACAAAAAATGAACACGCTCCAACTTTATGCATGGACCAACGCAAAGTCTGACATTTTAATTGAATTTACAGAGAAAAGGCCTCGACAGCCAGATTCTTCCAGCACGCTACGGTGACTTGACGTTTTATTTCCAATATCCTCCAAACGTAAGGAGTCATTCAGCCGTAATCTCCATATCAGGAGGGTGTCATCGCTTTCTGCGAGGCCAGAGGACATTTATTACTCCACGCAGAACCCCCTTTAGTCGTCTTGGTGTTTCACACAGAGATTAGCATATATGAGGTGTATTTAATGAGGCTTTAATTGAATTGGGGCATTAAACACGAGCCTCTCCGTCCCCATGAACCCCATGTTCGATGTGGCCCAGTTGTGAATATCGGCGGTTGCAGTTGTGGCCACATTGTAGACCACAAAAGCCAAATGTAGCGGACAGATGTTGATAATTAAAAGAGAGAATGATGTTTCTATTAAAATAAAAGGGGCCTATCGACATGAACACAAGCTGCTACATGTTGGTAAAGATGAGCTGTTGCCTTTTCAACAGAAATCAGTGCTGAACCCAATTCAATTCCACCCTAATGCAACAAAATGCTCATTGATGGAATGAAAAAATTGGCTTGGATGGAGGAGAACTAAAAGCGAGGATTGAGTGGCTGTCAGAGACTTTGGATCGGGCAATTACTGGACGTCTCAGGGTGCAAAGGTCTGACTCAAGCGCTCGGTCAAACGGTTACTCCTTCTCTCCCGCCGGGCCAGGAGCAAGTGCCTTGATTGCTTTTGGTATAACAATGTGGCTGCCCTCCCTCGGGGCTCCCGGTACGCAGGCTGAAAACAGACCTGCGAGTTGTACGTGGTTAGAAAACATTGCGACACAAGGGTTGTTCAAAATGTGCGACATAAATGAATACAACCACGTGTTTAAACCAACAGCCTGGGCGGATGACATCATCACCCGGAGATGTTGTCTAAGAGACTGAAGCGATGATTTCAGGTCTGACGGGGAGCCGCATGAGATGTCAACCCGGCGCCCTTTGACTGGCATTTGCCCGCCGAGGATTCTCCGCTAAAGTGACGTGCTGTTCCTCAGCCTCGTTAAACAGGTGCCAATCACGTTGCCAGGATCAAGTCGGACGCGGCCACGGGACGCTCGCTTGGCATTCCGACAGGCACCCGTCTTCCTACCAATAGAAAAATGACCCTGTAAGTGGGATGGAGTTGATGCCGACATGCCGGATCTTGACCCCTGAAGAGGCGGTCTTTCCCTGCACTAAGGGGCTCACATGTTCCACTGCTGTGCGTTTCCATTCAGGTAATTCAATAACAGGTTCATTAATATCCAGGGAGACTGTGCGGCTGCCCGCATTGTTTGCTGGTGGGGCTCTTTTCGACCGCCGATTGCCGAGTGTGTCGCTCAGTATTCACCGGTGGTTCTTGGTCTGCAGCGGTTCTTTGAGACCGGAACCGTCACAAAGAAAGCAGGGTGGGCTGTTTAATGGGACACCCAAAGAGAGACGCCACCCGTGAGGTGTAGAACCTTAACATGAAGGTGAAATGCAGGTAAATCCCACGGAGACAGGAGCATACTCGACATGAGGGGATGTAAGGTTCAGGAAGCGAATGCAGCCACTTTGTATTCCACGGATTGTAGCGTGTCTTTGATTCATGTTACGAATCTCCTCCATTTGAAAACACTGGCTGGTTTACTGTCATCAGCGAAAGTGTTCGTCCCATTTGTGAGCTGAACCGAGGAAAACCGCTGTTCATTAGAATTCTAGAGGACTTTTCATAAACACGTTGGTGAGACGTTACTTTGCAACATGTTTATTGGCTCTGTCAAGAGATGCTGTTGTGGAGGATTAATCTGAATTAATCTGCTTGATTCGGCTGCTTTTGAAGTCTGGAACATTTGATAACCTACTCACAGTATGCGTGGTTAAAAGAAGATTACATTTCCTCCAAGCAGGACCTTCATGTAAATAATGATCCAATACGCAAACAACGGTGGTATAAAGGATAAAAGTAAGTAGTTTGTGTGAATACAGAGAGGTTAGCGACAGAACAGTGATGAGAGTTTAGAGGGAATAATCAAGCAAAATTTCCATCCCAATAAAACGTTCCAATGGAAGGCTGTACGGATCACCAATTAGGCGTATTAGTTAAAGGCCACTTCCTATAAACACAAAGGTTCTGTGACATGGATGTGGGGAGGAAAGGAAGCTGGACCTGCGATGAGTGGAACATTGAAGAGGAGAGATGCGCCTCGACGGCGTCGGAGCTTTCGCCAACAATCAAACAAAAGACTCCTGTTCGCATTCAAGTCACAACACAATTCATGAAAGACCTTCAAAGTGCTCGCTGGGGCCGTGTGTGCCAGGAAGGGCTCAATTCTAGCTTGATTATCTTTTTTTTTTTGGGTTAGTTTGTTTCATTTGGCGGAGAGGACACGAAGCTACGTGTGAAAATAAGCGAGCGTGATCTGCTCGCATTCGTCGTGAACGTGCAAACAAAGTTAAGAGTCACATCAAAGGAGGAATGGACTGGATGAAAGCGTCCCGCATTCGAAACCGAGCTGAAGTCAAAAGATGAAACAAGCAGTTGCAAAAAGAGGTGGTTTGCTTCGCTTTGTGCGCGGCGGCGTTCAGAGGGATGAGAGCGGTGCGATGATGGAGCGCGAGCCGCCTCCGCAGCATCTCCGGAGCCGCTGAGGAGCCTTCAGCAGAGAGTTGAAAGACCACAAAGTCTTCTTTTTTTTTTTTTTTTCCTTTAACCTCAGCATGAAGCGAAGGCTCGGCTCCACCTTCATCCTGGGATTCGTCGATACGAGAACATGAGAACCGCGTTTTCTTTACGTTGGTAAAGTCGGCCGTTTACATGGAGACATCGGTTTGATGATCACCGTCGTCCGGCACAACTTCATTTTCACATTACTGCTCATCTGTATTCCTCGCCGCTCCCGAGAGAGAGAGAGAAGGTCTCCAAAGGTGACTGATGAAACCGTGAGCGGGCGGCGAGGTGAAGAGGGTTTCTGAAGGTACCTCAGTTCTCGAAGAAGCCTCTCCGTGCGTCTGCCGCGTCTCCCCGTGGGCCCGTCACCGCTCTCAAAGCTTTCTGTGGCAGAGGAATTGGACCAACCAAATTGGATCTTGCAGCTCCATCGGTAATGCAAGTCATGCCGGTCGGGATCCATCACCACCACCACAATATGGACAAACATGGCCGTACTGAGCGAGCGATGACAAACACTGCAGTTAAGAACCCGGGGCGGTTTAGAGGAGTGCTTAGAGTCCCTCTGTACCTATCAAAGGATCAAAATGCCGAGATGGTTGTCGGGACTCTTCTCACGCAGCGTTGAGGATTTGGGATTTCAGACCTGGTGCGAGGCGACCTTTGAAGTCCATTCACTTGAACAGGCGACTTGAACTTCCCGTGCAAATTAGCACCTTACACCACGTCTAATCAGCGCTGCTGCTAAACGCAGCCCGCTGAGGGAAGGAGTGTGCTCCGTCGAGCGGGAAAGCTGGTTTCCAGCTGTGCGTACGAGTAACGTGGAGCAATGCACGCACACCCATGCACGTGTTGCACTGCACTCAGGCGGCGCTTTAAGACGACTCATATTGTTGGCGCGTGATGAATCACCACTCGGTGAGGCCACTTGAGATAAGGACCTCATGTGTATTCCAGTTGATTTATTCTGGCTCCATCGCCTTGTTTAAACACACGTCAATATCAACGTGCAAGCAGAGGCCACGACAACGCATTGGAGACATGACGTCACGCTGCCCGCAGCCACTGCTTGCATATCGTCCGTGGGTCTGATCCCACCCGAGACAAACAGACGCCGGGCCCGGCAACATGAGCAAACAGATGCCAACCCGATTGGTGCGTTGAAGCACAGGTGACATCACCTTTAGCCAGCAGAGCCCCGCCCACTTTGAACATCCGGACGTCACAGAATGGCAGAAGGGCCTCAACTGTGATCACCCCGGAGGAGGAAGCCGGCTCTCCGGGTCCGTGTGGAGACGACGTTCGTTTGAGGGCCACAAAATAGCAGAGAGGACTCTCGCTGGCATTGGTGACGTCATTAAGTTAAACTAATGGCACAACACGGGGCACACATGCATCACAGGGGCGGTCATTGCGGCGGCTTGGTGAGTAACGTTCCTTTGTGTCCGGGGTTGATTTATGATAATCCGGACGCCACCTCGTGATGTGACTTTTATGGGCATTTATTAATGCCTCACTTTCACGTGCGCAACATGTTTTGCATAGTTCGCAGGATTGCCATCTGCTTCCAACTGTATCCCTTGAATAATTAATGTAAATAAGGAGGAGGGGGAGGGGGGGGGTGTCTACAGTACTGTTGTTGTCCAGTGCTTTGGAAGAACATTGTTCATCTAGAATCCAGTTAAAGCAAGCGCGTGCACGCGGGCGGGGGGGGGGGGGTGCACGCTACAGTGTCTCTTTGCGCGCATAGCGCAGCGTGCCGGACTCCCCTCCTCCTCCTCCTCCTCCTCCCCCTCCTCCTCCTCCTCCTCCTCCCCCTCCTCCCCCCTCCTCCTCCTCCCTCCAGCCGCGCCTCTGAACCTCCCGTCCCCAGAACTCAACTCTCTCTCTCTCTGTCTCTCCCCCTCTCTCTCTCTGTCTCTCTTTCTGTCTCTCTCTCTCTCCCTCTCTCTCTCTCTCTGGAGAGGGTGTCTCAACTTTCCGGAGGCGACAGCGTTGCGCTGGGCTCTGGAGGGAAACGCTTCATTGGGGCGGGAGACCTTCGTGTCTGTGGAGGAGAGAGAGGCGCCGAGCGGAGACCCGATCGGCTCTTTCTTCCAACGAAAAAGTCTTGTGAATTTTCTATTTTCCCCGCGCGACACCATCAGCATCCCGGCCACGATGCGCGGGCGGAGAGAGGCGAGTCTTTGCGTCCTCCAAACACTATTTGGATTGTTAACAACTCACAGGTAGGATACTCATGGATTCATTTACGCGTAAGAAGAACGCCCGCGTCTCCGGTTTGCTATAAATAGCGCGCGCACCGGCGTGCTTTAACGTGCTTAAACCCCGTGAAGGTATCTGCACACACTTCCCACCTGCTCGATTCCCTCCTCTGTGTGCGTTGTGGTCTTCAAGTCCCTCAGTGGGCGGTGGACTGTAATTGTCCCCTGTTGGTCTGAGAGAATAATATATATATATATATATATATATATATATATATATATATATATATATATATATATATATATATATATATATATATATGTGTTACTCTCAGACACTTGGTTTGTATGTATATCTCTCTCTCTGTACATAAGTGTGTGTGTGTGGGGAGGGATATTGTGTGTATCACTATCGCTCTCTCTGTAGAGGCTGGGGATAATATAAAGAAGCATCCAGCTATATGGCACCTCTCTCTAACGCGCGCACACACATGCACACACACACGCACACAGTTGTCAATCCCCACCTTGTCGTTCTGATCTGCCCCTGGTGTCTGCAACAATTGGGAACGCACAAGTGGCGTCGGGTCTGACCGAGCTGCAAGAGATTGAGAAAAACCTCCTGCAGAAAGTAGCTGTGCTTTTTTTTTTTTTTTTTTTTTTTACAGTTTTAGCAGTTCTGTATATGTTCTAAAAAAAATGCCTGAGACAAAACAATCCAGATGTTGGTGTCTCGCCATCAGCTGGAGGCAACGGAGCCGGAGCTCAACAACAAACCACTGAGGAACGCTGTTCCCATTGGATTATTCACACACATGTGGCATTTTATGTGGAGGGATTACACAGTAAGGAACATCTGACAGAGGTGTCATGAGAGTGTAGCAGGAGATGAGGCATGAGGAAGGTTGAGAAAGGGCTTTCATGCTTTATCAGCTCCACAGATAGACGCGGAGACCGAGGGGACGGACCATCTGACACAGGGACGGGACTCAGATTCCTTCCAAGTGGATTAAGACACTTTACGCAGACTCCTTTGATGATAATAGTTCATAAAGGGATCAGTCCACACGGTCATAAGCACATTACTCACTTCATCCCTTTCTGCTCCTCAATCTGCTGGTGGACCCTCGTGTCCTCGGGCCGGGGGCTGAGGTTCGCCGACAAAACGTCCTCGAGGGACGCGTTCGCATTTTCTGCAGCGAGCTCTCTGCATCATCCGCGGACTCGGAGACCGTCAATAACCACCTGGTGTTAATTTGCCGCCACCGAAGTCAAGTCACAGACAACGATGAAGTCGTTGATCTCCACATGGAGGAAAAGAACGCCGCGAAGGGGAGACGCGCGGGCGGAACGGGTCGGTGGGCGAACGCGGCCGACCGATGAGTCGCATTGGTATTCCGGCGGCGCCACGCGGGCCCCGGGGCGATAGCACTCGCTCTCGGCCTCGGGGTCAGAGGTCCCGAGTTTGATTGGCAACGTGCTGACGCGGTGATATCGAGTGTGCTGACTGGAGCCTAAAGGGGGGGGGGGGGGGGGCGAGACGCGGCAAAAGTATCGCCACCGCACGACACGTTAGCGGCGCCCCGGGCCCCAGTTTTCGGGGCCCCCGGGGGCCTCTCCTACCCTCACCCCCCCCCCCGAGGCCGAACGCGCTCAAGCGGCGAACAGCACATGAGTACCGTCCCTCTCCTTCCCGCCAATATTTACTCACAGGCATCGAGGCACAAAACACAAACACCCACAAACAAACAAACAGGCAGCGCAGCGATTATTCATGAGATCATCCCCGACGTCCTCACTGAAATAGCTCATTCAAACTTAAATTCCCATTTGGTTAGAAAAGCCCCTCTTCTGCACCAGCAAACAGGGAAGCGAAGCATCTTGAAACGTGGGGATTTCGCCGAGCGTCGCCCGCTTGCACCTTGATACCTTTTGCCGACTGAAGAGAAAAGAACACGATCACCGGGGCGCGAGGCTCCAATGTGGGCCGTCGCTGAAAAACCTCTTTACCCGACACGCCGCCACGTGTCGTTGAAGCAACATCGGTCTTCAACGTGGAAGCCGCTCGTCTCATTTGATTGGCGGTGATTGTTTGATGTTAAGACGCTATTTGTAGCGGCGTCAACACGAGTCGCATCTCTGCTCTGATGTAAAAAATGACTGACGTTCCAAAGAAACTCCGGGTTGGAACCAATTAAGAGAAAGAAGCACTCGTTAAAAAAAACGCTTCATGCCAACAAAACGGAGGACGCCTCGCCGAGGCCGATGCCGACGCACTGCCGCGATAGCCGCGTGATAGCCGCGGCGGTAGCGTCCAAAGTGCGTAGGAGCCGTCGAGCAGCGGCGTCACTTTCACTCAGCTGAAAAGTGCGTTTGTGCGCGATAACCTCGATGCCGCACGGCGCGCGATATCACGACTGAAAGGGAAACAAAGATAACGAGACCTTTGTTGACTGTCAGGTGCTCACCGGGCTCCAGGAAGCTCGGCAGCGCGGCGCCCGTGTTTAATTAATGGGCCGAAACAAACAGGGGCATCGTTCGTCGGGGTATTCGAGGACGAGGAAGAGAGGATTAGAGATAATGAGATAACTTTGTAAGGGAGTCTGAGAAGCAAGTGATCCTAACGCTGTTAAAGTGTTCTCACTAAAGTGCAGAAAACCAGAGCTGGACCTCGTGTAGTAATCGGGCCTGACCTTTGTCCCCTTGGGAAATTCTATGGATCCAAACTATTTGATGTACGTCTCCGAATGCTCGAGCCCCGGGGGAAGAGCCGGAGATGCCTTTTTGCATTTGTCGACCACCTGAATCCCCGGTGGAGAGGAGTTAGCCGTCAATGCTGCTAAAAAAAACTGTCAATAAAATAGGATAAGACGCGCCCGTGAAATGATATCGCAGATGGTGTCCAGTACGGAATGCGAGAGGAGCCGTGCGTCTCCCCTCGGGCCTGGCTGGTAATAAAAGATTGAAATGGGAGTGAATCTGTTACGGAGCAGTGGGACAGAAGCACACTGCAGGTTATTGGCCAGTCAGTCTGCTGTTCAGGTCCATAACGTCACGTCATATGGAGCTCAAGGATTTGCAATTAGGAGGAGATCTCGATATTCTCATTACTCGTCCTGAACCTCAACCATACTCTTAGAACTCGTATAACACGGAATTTAACGGTGAATCAAGGAGTGAATATCGGTTTCTCACCGTGATTAAAGAAAGAAAGAAAAATAAACGAATCGTCCACAAGATGATTAATGTACAAGGTATTGACCTGTCCGACAACAGGCTCTTATCTGCGTCCCATCACCACAATGCTATTTGGCATTATGTGTAATCTTGTTGTCCACCATTGGAAATAGTCTCTTTAATAATTTGGGAATAGTGCAGTAAGCCAGAGAAGCACGATTGGGTTCGGGACCCCGAGAAATAATCAAGAAATAATCTGCTCTGGGAATTTCTGTTACAAACACAGATTAATCAGACTAAGGTTTATTTTTTGATCTGAGTCTACGAGGAGTGTGACGAGTCCTCTGTGTCAGAGACACCCAGAGACAATTCGAACATTCTGCAGAATTATTGACCAGCTACTGAAGGCTGGTCATGCCTCTTTATTTTGTATTAATAGATATATATATAATATATAATAAAATATAAGATAAATATAAATAGATAATATTCCCATGAACATGATGATAATCGTCTACTCACAACTACTGAACTCTTGTGTTAAAATCCAAAGAATCCAAAAGCATTTATCAGAACTTGTCTAATCTCCGCTCTTCAAAAATTCAACGGTCGATTCCCACTTTAATTATCAAGTCCTCCATTCTAGTTAAGAGTTCAGTCGCTCGTTCAACATCTTCATAACCATTAGATGCATTCAAATCAGGTAGATTCGTCCATCTCAGTCAAATCACACCGGACGACAATACACGCATAGAGATATTACGCCAGATGTGTTGTTGATGCTAATGACGACCTTTGTGTGTCCGCCTGCTTTAGGTGTAACTCAACTCCTCCTTATCAGGCTGACGACTCCTCGATGACACCTAACGAGCAATAAGGATCTAATCATTGTAGTAGATGGCAGCGCTTTATGTATTGCTGCCCCGGGGTACAATATGTGTGTGTGTGTGTGTGTGTGTGTGTGTGTGTGTGTGTGAGCGAGGGAGCAAATTAAACCTAATTGAATCATCTGCGCCGTGCAGCACTTGACGGTCGGGGAGGCTGTAAAAGGCTGAACTTTGATCTAACGCCAGCGAGCGTTTGGCAAACTGTCACCGGCTGGTCGACGTCAAATAAAATCATCCTTCTGTCTGAAACCCCCCCCTCTTTTTCCTCAGTGTCCTCCCTAGATCTCTGAGTGCTGAGAGCCATTAAGTTCTACACGCCGTCCCGCCTTCTCCCACCTGCCTGACTCCTGACGTCACCCAGAGGCTCCGCCCACTCGCCCTTTGACCGCCGTTGCCATGGAGAACCTCAGCGAGCTCCAGAACCCCTTGTTGGACAAAAACAGCAAGCACATGGTCAACGGTTATGGGGGGGACTTCCCTAACAACCAGTACCAGGAAAACATTATTAATTACTTCGCTGGCGGAGGAGAGGGAGGGGGGGGAGGGGAGGGAGGGGGAGGCGGTAAGGTGAACAGCAGCAACGCGGTGAGCGCGGGTAGTTGCAACACCAACGGGAAGGTAAAGTCCCAGCAGCTTCTGGACGCCACCTCGCTGCACCTGGCGGTGGAGGCCTTCTACCGGCCCAACTTCATCCTGTACAAGGAGGACAGCGGCAGCATCAAGGCCAAGGAATACAAAAGCGAGTGCTGCGAGACCACGTTCACCGAAAAGAAAGCCAAGGAGGCGTCCAACGCGGCGGGGACGGACACGCCCGCCACCGAGGACCCCCAGGCGAAGCTGCTGGAGGACGGGGAGCACGTGAAGATCCAGACGGTGTCCTACGAGGTCGAGGAGGAGGAGTACGTGGAGTACGAGGTAAGGAAGGGGAACCGCGGGAGTGGATCCTTGAAGGGTATCCGGTGACTTTGAGTTGTGAAAGCACTTCTCAGATCAAGTCCCTTTCTCTGGAGGTCGGGGAGAACCGACGCATCCGTTCATCCGGGTGCACGGCCGCTGGCACGGACGCCTCCGTGCGTGCGCGTCTGTGTTAATTGAGAGGCAGAGTGAGCGTGCTTCTGCATCCCCGTGGTATTTGCACGCTTGTGGCATCAAATATTTGGGCTGGACGCCCGGATCAGACGGACGTCCTGCTAACCGCAATCCCCATTAGATCCACTGACCTTGGCCTCAATACCAAACTCCAGTCAAATATAAAGGTAATAAAAAGAGAATTAAGCACGCTGGGCTCGCCCAGGGATATTAGGTGCCACAGCACAGGAGTCTCTCACAGTCGTTTCTCCATTCGGGCGGCGTAGCCGGTAGCTCAAAGCACTCTTAAGGATTTAAGGGATTGGACGGGCGGAATAGGTTGTCGAGGACGACCACTGTGCTACAATACGAAATGAACCGACTGGCCACGAGTCTGCTAGAAGGACCCTGGATGGCCGTGATGGACGTGTGGCTGCTGAAATGAAAAACAACAAAATTGTGGTGCAGAACCAAGGAGCAGACGGCACAAACACATCTTTGTGTATAAAATGTTTTAAATAAATGCGTTTTCTGATGCGGTAAAGTTCCTCTCAGTGGTAAACATACGTGGATGCACACAAAACGTAAAATAAATGAGTGAGAAATATTGATACTGTATGAAACAAGGCAGCGATTGTTCTTAGTTCTTTGTTCACAGCGATCTTTTGTCTCATATCTAATCATTGGATGAAAGTATCAAGTACTCCTTCAAATTGGTCTCATCGATCACTATGTCCTTCAGTGCAAATATCCATCGCCTATTCATTAAATAAACTAAATTCGTGGCATTTGAATGATGCAGCTCAAAATGAGAAGACGGTTTGCCTCCAATCATCAAACATCTTGATCCCGCGATGTGATGCAGGCATTTAAAACGTATTTCATACATGCTGTTTCTTCAGCACTCTTTAACTAGATGAGATCCACATGCAACCTGCTACTTGATTGTCAAGCAGGATTTTACTTTAGGATAAGAACTGTAGGTGTACTTAGAACTATTAGAAGAATAAACGATGTGCCGATCGCTGAGGGAATGCCACTGCTCACAAAGAACAGAACATTAAACTCGATCAAGTAATCGCCCTTAAATCGTCACAAATTGACAGGCGGCACGAGATGTGCTAGTTCTGCTTTCTCTGTAACTTGCAGGTTTTCAGAACTAATCACAAAAAAAGATTAGAAAAGCGCTGCTGCGGTGGAGCAAAGTATTTTGTTTTTAAATGACTTTACTGAACACAGCACAAACTCACCAATTATCAAAGCATTCTACAAATAGCCGCCGGGGGCGTCAGAGAAGTCGGCAAATTTCATCAAGGTGATTTCAATTTGTCTTTGTTTTCAAACTCGAAGGTGCATTATGAGAAACAACGGGGAGATTTTAATGGGATCACTTGAGGAATGTGCATTCCTCCTGCGATGCTCGCCGTACCGGCTGCATCGGGGAACCTTCTCGTAGAAACACCGAAACATCCAATTATCAATCCTCTGCGAGCGTCACGTCAATGTGTTCCCCTTTTCAAGAGCCTTGCTGCGCCGCACATCTGCACGTAGCACTTCTTTCTCTTTAAATCCTACAGTAAGAGACGTCTAACGAACAGGGATGAGCAATGCCGAAGTGCCCTCGAGCAAGGCGCTGGATCGCTCTCAGCTGCGGTCGTGCACTTCTGCCTCCAAGTGTAGAAGATGAAAGCAAAGAGAACTTCCAATCCAACCGAATCCGTCCCCTTTTAAGGTTGATGAACCTTTTAAAATGTTTAAATGCCCCTTTTTGAGATTACAGTTCTAGTTGATTTGGTTGCCGTTGGTTACCGGTGATGATGCTGAATACGTCTGTATGGTACCAGGTTTCCGTTTAAAATGACACGTTCATCCATCCTGCCGACTTAATTTAGGCTTATAGCTAATCTGGCACCGTCAGATGGCGTGCGACAAGAACCGTCTGGGAAGCCGCCGTTTGGAAAAGGGCGAGTGCTTTTCGGAAAATACTGAACCATCTGTCAATCAAACTCTTGAATGAAGCCAGTTGGAAGATGTGATGGATTCCTCCTGTGAGATGTGACGGCGCGGCTTTTCTGTCAGAAGGAAACAGAACCGGACGTGCAACTGGTGTTTGAATCTCTGCAGCCGGTGCGATTTGTTCGGCGGCGGCTACTGACTCGCACACACCTCGGTCAGATTAAATATCAATGAGACTCTAGACTCACGTATTAAACTTTAAACGAGGCGTCTGGCCCTGCCCTTACTCTGCTACGAGAGCGGAGAGGACGGCAAGGCCTCTCGAATAGTCTCCTGGACTCGCGTCCCCGAGTGTGTTTTCTCTTCTGGATCCATTCGGTGCATTAAAATGGAAACGTGTCTTTTCACCTGCACAAGCAATCGCGCCCGAGCCGAGGATGAGACTCGCCACGTCTGTTTGCTTTTCTGCCTTCTGTTACACCATCTCCAGTGATTCAAATTTGTATTTTCAGTCCATTTCTTATTCACAAAATAATGTGAGCATGTGTTAGTCGTGCCACTCTGCAAGATTTCAATTTAAAAAAAAGCTCTCTGCTTGGCTTTTCTTATTAAAACCCCCTTTTTTTTTAGCACACGCTTTAGAGTGCACGCTGCATGTGTGTGACATTAAATATAGATCAGTTTGATTTATTTAAAATAAATACATCTCCAACCGCCCTCTGCCTCCACCTGTGCAGCCTTTTAAATCAGGCCACGTTGGATCGGAGGGGTTTTCCGCTCTCGCTAAAATCGCCTTCATTAAATCCACGACGTGGTCACGCTGCGGTTCGCTGCGCACACATTGTTCCCCTCCCGAAAGGTCCGGCCGCCGCTAAGCGCCTGTGTCATATAATCTTTCCCAGATATCCCAGTTCTCATTTAGCGGTAAATGACAAGAAAAAACGATCTCTCGGATCGCTTCGATTGGGCGGTAAGCGAGTCTGCCCGTTGGATTTGAAAGCCGGCTCACCTCTGCTAAACGGGGGTCCTCACCCCGGGGGGGTTGATGGTGTCTCTCCAGAAACCATCAGCTGCACATTGTGACATGTTAGAGAATGTAACGTTGTTGCTGAATTAGTTCTGTATTGAGAAGAAACAGGTTATTCGTGGTCGTGAATCGCATGTTTTGCATGGGATGATTAAAATAACTGTGTGTGATTATAGAATCCAAAACAGTTCAAATGTGTTTTTCTATTCCAGTCGGGCATCTTTTGTCATTGAATGTAGCATCAAAGCAACGCAGCATCTTCTCTCTGCCAAACTTCCCCTTAATCCTGCCTGAACGGCAGCTCAGAGAATTAACAAGTGAAAAAAATGAGAGAACGGCTTCTGTAATGCAACAGGTTTGTTGTGTAATGCGACAGGCCTCCGGCGCTGATTACATGTCGTGAATCCCAGCGGATTGAGGGGACGGTCATGTAGCGACATCCTCATCAATCTGTTGGATTCAGATGTTTTATTCAAAAATAAACATGAGGCTTTTTTTTCAGAGACATTGTGTAATAAAGTAGATCATTCCTTATTTGTCAGCCTCATGGAGCCTCTCTGTGGCAGCTCACCTCCTCATTGGGTGTGGACATGTAACACACCGCATCGAATGGCTAATATGCGCCGGCTAATCCATGTAAATTACGCGGGCAAGCCGCTTCACTCCCGACTGTGGCCCGTGAGGCTGCCGTGCAGTTTATGAGACGCGTTCTGGCTTCACGAGGCGAGGGCTGCGCTTGTTATTTTCACCAGATTTAATCCCTGGTTTGAGGTCTGCTGGCGCCTCTCGACTTGTTCACGGAGCGCGAGTAGCGCTGCCGCGCCGGGGCCTCATTACGCCCTCCTAAATTGCACACCTGTCAACGAGAGGCCACGGGGCACCGGGGAGGGGGGAGAGACACGCACGCTAAATATTTTGTTCATTAATTCGACACACGTAACGCATCTCCCCCGACGGCCGCAACGCGTGTTTGAGGGGACTTCCTGGCGACGCGGCTTTTATCATTGTGAACACACACACTCGGTGACTGAGTGTCCCTCCGAGGCTCCGCAGTGGAGTCCCGGCCAGTGTGTAAATCACGGGGTTGTTATTAAGCGCGAGGGAGAAGCTTGTATTTCTGTTTACCAGCCGCCCCTTATTCCGGTAGCACTCAATCACAGCGGCTGACAAATTATAAAGGCCTGAGAAAAAGCCTCCGTCACAGGTTGGGCTCCGAGCCCAAAATGACTTGATAGTGGGTGCAGAGTGCATGTTGCACTGATGCTGCATTGGGATGCAAAGGAGGGGGGGGGGGGGGCGCAATGTTGTCTTGGTTAGAATTGCATTGCGACAGATGACGCTTTGCCACAAGAAGACATTTGGTTTAATTATACGAGGAAAGGGCCGCGAAAGGCGCACAGCCTCTGACCATGTGAGTGTTTCTCTAATGGACGTAGGACACGGTTGCAGCCATTTTTTTTTGTGAATTCTCGTTCCTCTATCAGGACTGTAAATGTGCTGAAAATGTCATTTTTTGGGACGTGTTGCATCTTTAATGGTATTCGCTCATTAACTTTGCTTATGCATTCAGCCAAGTAATTGAATTCCCTTTGGTTCTCAAGTACTTTCTGTCAGCATCCAGACCTCCGCTTCTGTGTGTCTGCACAGTAAAGCAATTCATTTGTTTAATTTCATCCGCTGTTTTCTTTCTTCATGAAATGGTTGAAAAGACAATATTAATTTCTGTCGCTGCTTTAATTTGATTCAGTGGGCTCAGTAATTTGTGATGGGTAGTTTCCCCTTTTCTCTCTCTCGTATATTCCACCCAGCTATCTGCATCGCTCTTTTTTTAATTGTGCAGTTGTTATCACTCACTGACTATCTTGTTATTGCCGAGCATGGAAAGGGGAAGTGATTTATTCATCTTTTTCCCAATAGAGGCATGTGGCAAAGAGTCAGACTCCAACCTATAAGTCTGCTTTCAAAAGCATATAAAAGAAACTAACTTACTTAATCACAATTTATGATTTTTTAAATTCTAAACTTGAGTAAATATTGATCTTGTTTCCAAAATAGCCTAAATATGTCGCAGCCAATGTCCACCCGTCCATCCAGAGTCACTGTGTCTGTCGGCAGTTACAACGTGTAAGATGATATTTATTTATTCATGTCACTGCCATGACTAAATCATGAACACTGAATTCGTAAACATGTCAGCACCTCGCAAATAAAAACAAAATCAAATAAATATGAAATGCTGCGAGACGCTTTTTTCACAGTGGAGCTGCTCCATCCCAAGAAACATTCAAATCCATGTTCATTCTCACACCATCTTCATTAGGACCACCTGCCTGTCAAACAGGGCAGTTCGGTATGGAAGAGACGCAAGGACCAAATTCTAAAAAGGTACAAAGACAAATCTGTGGCACGTTTTCGTGTCCGTTGTGGAGGCAGTGTGACAACAAATGAATTACACGAGGCCCACACTTGGTTACGCTGTCATGGCTGAGTGGTGGAACCGTCCATTAGTTCTTCATTACCTGTCAGCCTGTTGCCACGTGTTGACAGGGTTTACGGCCCGCAAGACGTATCTGAGCAGCACCGTCATGCATAGTCATTAGGACACGCGTATCTACGGGGAGAGACCAACTGTCAACGCACGCTCATTAAAAGTCAGGTACCACAATGATCAACAAAATAATCTTTCATTTCAATCAAACACTTTCCCTGCAAATCCACAGCGTGTCGGCCTGACCTGGGACCGCTCGTCTGCACGAGTCCTTGAGAAAATAAAAAGACAATGGTGTGATGTACATATTTAATGTTACATGGGACAGCTTTGTAGAGAGATGTGTGGTTTTCATCGGCTTTGGCTTCCTGTGAAGTACCAGCAGCTCTGCATGTAACTTCCTGTGTTGTACCAGCAGCTCTGCATGTAACTTCCTGTGTTGTACCAGCGGCTCTGCATGTAACTTCCTGTGAAGTACCAGCGGCTCTGCATGTAACTTCCTGTGAAGTACCAGCGGCTTTGCATGTAACTTACTGTGTTGTACCAGCAGCTCTGCATGTAACTTCCTGTGAAGTACCAGCGGCTCTGCATATAACTTGCCGTGATGCACATGCAGCTCTGCATGTAACTTCCCGTGATCCACATGCAGCTCTGCATGTAACTTCCCGTGATGCACATGCAGCTCTGCATGTAACTTCCCGTGTTGTACCAGCAGCTCTGCATGTAACTTCCCGTGATCCACATGCAGCTCTGCATGTAACTTCCCGTGATGCACATGCAGCTCTGCATGTAACTTCCCGTGATCCACATGCAGCTCTGCATGTAACTTCCCGTGATGCACATGCAGCTCTGCATGTAACTTCCCGTGATCCACATGCAGCTCTGCATGTAACTTCCCGTGATGCACATGCAGCTCTGCATCTAACTTCCCGTGATGCACATGCAGCTCTGCATGTAACTTCCCGTGATGCACATGCAGCTCTGCATGTAACTTCCCGTGATCCACATGCAGCTCTGCATGTAACTTCCCGTGATCCACATGCAGCTCTGCATATAACTTGCCGTGATGCACATGCAGCTCTGCATGTAACTTCCCGTGATCCACATGCAGCTCTGCATGTAACTTTCCGTGATGCACATGCAGCTCTGCATTTAACTTCCCGTGATGCACATGCAGCTCTGCATGTAACTTCCCGTGATCCACATGCAGCTCTGCATGTAACTTCCCGTGATGCACATGCAGCTCTGCATCTAACTTCCCGTGATGCACATGCAGCTCTGCATAGCGCTCGTGACTGCAGAATAACAATATGTCTTTATTATGCTCATGTGTTATGACCTTTTGTTATTTTTTGCTTTATGAAGAGAACAAAAAGTCATATCGATCATCGCAGCAGCGGCCCAGTTTTTAAATGATTCATAAGCTTCTCGCCCCGACAACACGGACTCGTATTGTCGGAGGCTGCATAGATGGATTAGGACGTTTTTGCTTGCTCATTCACTTCTGGAGGTTATTACATATGTTTTGTCATCTGGGATGCCTATTTTCTGGATTAGATGTTTGTGTGTGCCTGTTTATTCCTCAACATTGGTGTTGGAGGACTTAACAACTGCCCACCCACTAATCCCCATTAGCAATCAGGGCCATATTACTGTAAGGGGCACAGGTTATTAAAGCTTATTGAAAATGAGTTCATCCCTAAAAGCTAATTATTAAAACGTTCACCCAATTGCAGTAGTTTAACTTTTAATTAAAAAAACTAACACCATAACACAACAGAACAACATATTTTTCAAAGTATTGCCCTTGTTTAATCATCTCCTCACCTAGTGTTTTGTTGGTTGGTTCTCTAAAATGCAGTTTTTAATTTAACAATATGAATCACCGACTCATAAGTATAATCACCCAATGCTAAAAGCAGATTGTGAGGTAATATAACGATGGTTATAATATGGTGATCCTTCAACTCAGAAGTCTATAAATAAAAGCAAAATGTGTTTTAGAGGAAAAACACCTGGACTAGACAAAAACACCATTCTATCCAGCGCTGTGGATCCCGGTGCAGGCAGGAGGGCAGCGCGCACCGCCGGCAGCCTGCAGCTCTGCTGCATGACTCACGATAGCACGGCGGTGGGGCAAACACTCTAAATTCATTAGGTACACAACCACAAAAACACATGATGGGATTAAGAGTGATAAAGCCACTGAACACGGACAGTAAGAAAGATGTCGGACTGCTCAATGAAAATGAAGGACGAGTGTTTTCTTTGTCATGTCATTTTTTTTTAAATGGGACGATTGGACTTTGGATAATGTCCTCGTGCTTTGCTGAATTTCCCCTTGTCTGGTATGATGAAATATTCAGCCTCACATTTAACTTGTTTTCTGTGATACAACAGCACATTGTTAGCCTCGATTCCTTTCATTTATTCCTCGTGTTCCGCCCTCGTGCCGGATCACCCTTCAAACAGGATGACGTCTGAAGGATGCAGCTTAATGGCTTCCATCGAAAACCGCCGCCTCAATCTGCGAGTCTTTTTCGTTGCAGCCAACGGCGGAAACAAATCCCTATTCTTAGTCCTGCCGCTGTTGTGGGGTAAAACACACTCGATGTGTGTTGTTTGGTCAAATGTTGTCGTGAAAAACAAACGTTTTCAGCGACCTATTCAGCCGAGGTTCACGTAAGAGAAAAAAAAGGAAACAGAATCCAGACGCACGAGTGTCGACGCTCTTCTGCTGGAGGCATCTCAGATTCATGTGAGGAACGTTGCGTGGAGCGTGAAATAGATTCATAAAGCTTTAGGGAGGAGGTGTGTTTGATTCATAACTGTTTCACATTTAAAATGGAAAGTACCTTCAACCGTATCAACCGTAGCTTATTTTTTTGTTAATGCCATCTGCTGTTTGAATGCCAAACTGTAAGGATCTGCATGTCACAAAGCTAATGAGAAACTAATGGGCCATCCCGAAATGTCCATGAATACGAGCTGTGGCATTACGGCGAGCGAAATGATCCGGCATGCAGCGACTCGTCGGTGTTGTGTTTCCCATTACACCAAATGGCTTTTTTCTCTTTCAGTGAATGCAGGTTCTTAAAAATCACCTCTACCTGTACACAAATGAAGGGAAACTTTTCTCCTCATCTTCTACCAAGAAACGCGGCTCGGTCCGCGTGTCCGTCTACGCATCAAATTCACCAATAATTTAACCTTTTTAAAACTTCATGAATGGATGCGCTGACCATGTCGGACCTTCAGCTTTCGTTATCCGATTCTCACTGAGTCAAAAGGGAGAAGAAACACCCAAATATTCGAGATAAATTACAAAAGGTTGATCGTGAAACATTTTGGAAAGAACTTTTACCTTCGCTGCCGATAGCTCGTATTCAAGAATGAGACAACTGTTTGCATGGTGAAATTATAAAGCTTCACCAAGTAACCATTTATCTGACTGGGAACATAGGAAATCTGGCAAAATGACACCACCCAATTGAATTGAATTGAAGCATTTCTTGGATGTGAGGATATTTTGGTGAAACCATTACTTTACATTTTAACACTTTTGTGAGGCCAAAACAAACAACATATGAATAAAATATCAAATCGTCTGTAAAAGTCAACAGCAAAGTAAAAGGCAAAGTTCATTTTTGGGTGAACTGTACCTTTAATGAATGAGCTTTAAAGAACTGATGAGCGGAGTCCGTTGTTTCCTGTTAACCATGAAACGGAGCCTGGATGTGTGTTTTGACCCGAGTTGTTCTCTGCAGACGGACTGCTCCAGCGACAGCGAGAGCGAGGACAACTTCATAGTGGTGCCACCGCGAGACCACCTGGGCCTGGCCATCTTTTCCATGCTGTGCTGTTTCTGGCCTTTGGGGATCGCGGCATTTTACTTCTCGCAGGGGGTGAGGACAGACGCACACACACACACACACACACACACATGCATGAACACGGTGCAGACGCCTCAGAGGTCGTGGTGGGTCACACGCCGACGAGTGTTTGGTGCTCTTCGTGCATGCGAATCCCTATTAAAGCCGACATGCAAACCCTCCCCTAAAAACAGGAGGTGATGATACGAGTAGTAAGAAGGGAGCCAGCCTTTGAACTAGCGGTGTCTTTTTAAGAGGATTGAACATGAACACAATTACAGGTGTGGTTCCTTATTAGAGGTGACGAGCACTCGGACGCGCTCGAGAGCCTCCAGCAGTCGTTTAAGCAACACTATTTGTGGGAAGAAATCCATGAAAACACTCACTTAAACCACACTGTAGAAAAAAGATTCTAATTTTATGGAAAATAACATTTTTACAGTAGTTTTTCTGTTTTTAAACTGGTGTACAAAGATTTGTAAAATACAGGTTTTCTCTGTGAAAACCTTGAATGAAAATTTCTGTATGTATAGTTTTTGCACTTTATTTGAATTAAGATACTTTACGTTTTTTGTTTGCAGCCAGTTAGCCAGTAATTTTACAGGGTTTAACCGTTTTTCTTTTACAGTGCATACAGTTAATATTAAAGATATCATATGGAAAAAAATATTTACCAATAGAGATATTTTGTTTGATGGAGGTATAAAACCAGATTATTCTGAACTGTAGACACAGCAGTTACTTCCTAAGAGAACTCGTCTGTTATTTTAGAGTCTGACCAAGGAAACAAAAGGCACTTAATTTAGAAGCTGACAATCTCACCGATCAATTCTCTTTCCTAGATGTTCCCCACCAACGGCCTGCCATGGTGCATGTTTAAAAGCACACGTAAAGCACACGCTGCACACACACACACACACACAGACAGAGAAGCTTTTCCATGCACTGTCCTGCCTTTGACTTTACATTCTTATCAAATGCCCGAGCATTTAGCAGACTTATCTGCGGGGGTTGAGCAGTCCGAGGAAGGCAGATGAAGGCAGTCGGTGAATTATCTTGTCAGGAGCTAATTTGATTCTTCCCGGGTAATTATGGGGAAGTGATGGCTGTGTTTAGGGATGGGTGGTTTTCCTGCCAATCTCCCTGCTTTAAAAGGTGGCGTCCAGAGGAGCTGTCAGGAGAAGATATAGCGGGAGTCCGAACTCGCTTCATTTTATAGCTCAATAACCCACTTCACTGGGCTTCCATTCATTTAATAGTTCAGTGAGCGTCCTCTACTAACTAAATTAATTAATTCTACAGGATTTAGCACACGAATACTGCACGTTTTTAAGCTGAAGTTTATGCAAGCAGGGTCTGTGCCATATATCTTGTATCGATTATCTGCTACTTTTTGGCCGACTAGTCTAAAAACTTCTTTCCCCAACTGCTTTTGGCGTTCGGAACCCTCATCCAACCAAAGTTTGGAATTGATAACACATCAGCTGGCCCACTTACTCCGGGGGCACTCGCATGCAAACAGCTTAGCGTCCGTAATGGAGTCTGCGGACGGCAGATCGATAGTGTTTTTGTCTCTTCGGAAGGTCAGACCCGATGAAAACAGAGAGACCCAGTGCATGGACCCCCCCCCCAAGGAGGAAGAATATCAGCCTGCACTCACGTGCTGTTTTGAATTTGCCAAAAAACCACACCTTTAATTCTCTGTCACGTCTCTAAAGCAAATTGTGATTTGCTATTTTTGGGATGCGGCGTTTACCGCCTGCACACACAAACAACTGATAGTGACTAAAATAACAGGGCGATTAGCGCTCAGCATTTGATGGAGAACCAGAAATGAGTTTCAATTAATGCCACTAATAGGTAAGTGTTTTGTTTAGAGACGCTGATGAATTTCTCTCTCAGCTCAGAGACATCTGTGCAGGAGGCGCAGCGATTTTTAAGATATTAATAAGACTCCCTTGAAATTGTCTTACAGCGCACAAGTCATGATAATGGATGGAAAGTGATGAGCGAATTCATTTTTAATTGATTTGTGTGCGTGGGGGGGGGGGAAGAGACACACGGGAAGTGAGAAAAAGAGTGTTTGTTTGAAGAAACCTGTTAAAAAGGTGCAGAACTGACTTCCCGAGAGCGCATCACAATGTGCGTCTACATGCAACGTCTGAGACCTTATCTTCTTCGCTTCAATCGTTTTGTCTCACCGTTTTCCTCTCAGGGAAAAGCAGGAGAGCGCTCTCAACCCGCCGTCTTCATTGTGGCGGCGTTAAATGCCCCTCAAGAGCAGCAACGTTCTGTTACTCCGTTTGTTTTAGGCGGAGAGAACGACGCGTAAAGAAGTTGATTAATAAAATGATATCAGTGTGGAAATGAAAGAAGTAACGAGTGTCCCACCGTGATGGGGACAATTAAACCGCACTGTGTCATGTCATTTGTAAAAGACTTTGCTGCGGGGTGGTATTACATTTTCCCATAACGTCGCCCTCTCGGGGGGCCTTCGTTTCAATAATTACATCGTTGATATGGAAGCTAAAAGCTCCGTCCCTTTCCCAAATGTTCATCCTGACCTTTCCAGGCTTTTGTGTGAAAAGTCTTTCTCTGCGGCTCTCATCCGACCGTCTTTCAGAAAGACCCCGCGTGTGGTGTTCTGTGGACGTAACCGATTGAGCCTTTTTTTACCTTTATTATTTATATATTCTCCAGTCAATAAGCTGCTTTGCTGAAAGACGCTGTGGGGTTCAAAGCTGTCATGAGGATCGCGTATTGGGCCTGTGGCGCCTAAACGTCTCCAAACCCAAGAGACGAGCACAACAGGGCGACTGACATCATATACATCATATACAATATGTGCGTCTGATTCCGCTCAGTCAAACATAAAACACTAGCAAATAAGCAAGTAACTGTTTTCTGTCCTTCCTGCAACGTTTTCCACTTCCGCCTCTTCATCTTAATATTAAAGCCGGCGAAACTCTGCGTCGGTCGTAATTTACATCCCGTCATTTCGAGTCAACTTCCTGCAGGAGTACAGACAGAGAGATCCGCCATGCAGAGACACAAATTGGGGGGGAAATGGAGTCCTGATGCGATGGTTTGGCGTTCTGGGGCGGCCGATCCCTTCCTGTCTGTAGGACTGTAGTGCAAATGGGCAGAGCCTATGAATTATACAAGTATTGTTCCATAATGCTACAGCAGGTACAACGTGCAGATGATATCAAATATTTATGTAGAATTCAAACAAACAAAAAGCGGTTTGTTACTGAAGTCTGGGAGATGAACTCGCCGTGAGTCTAATTACCTGGCGCCCTCGCTTCAGTCAGTCCTGCCGAGCACAGCTAAAAATAAAAAGGAGGTACGCGGTCAGGCCCCCCCCCCCGAACCAGCTGGCGCCTCTTAACGAGGAAACGCAGCGGCTCGACTCCCAAGTCCTCGCTGCGTGGCGACGGGCGAGGCGAGGCATCCCGGAGAGGGACCTCATCTCATCCACTTCCAGAGATGTGAGGAGAGCCTTCGCTTCGGTGGTTATTCCTCCATCCGTCCCCGCGGGCCCCGGCATCCGAAAAACCGTCATCACGGCGCACCGCGTCCCAGTCGCAACCCCTCTCAGCCCCCCCCCCCGCATCCAATCACATCGGCTGCATCGTCGTCAGTAACGAAGGTCGTTTCAGTGGGACCGATGCACTGCATTACAGGCACAATGAATTATGGTTTGCCATTGACACCATTGAATACCATTAACTAGAAAAAGGTGGAAATGATCGTATGATTGTGAATGAAACAGGACAGAAGATATTCGGGGAGGGGGGAGAGAGAGACACCAAAGATAGAAAAACAAAGTCCAGAAAAAGCAACGGTAACAATTCAAAACGGCAATTCTCTTCTTTCCATTTCCCTCTTGGCAAGAACAAGCAGCCGGGTAAACACATCGACAACGGGCACGACAGACGGGAGAAAGCACTATTGATCGTGGTATTTTCAAGCAAAGTACTGAATAATAAAATCAGCAAGATGCTTCTAGCATCGCTTACTTTGTCTCTCTAACCAACGTTGGTCACGATGAGGCAAATCAACCACGTTTAGGCCGAATGGTTGATGCAGCAGCCCACGGAGGATCTACATGCACTAAAAATGCACTATAACCATAAATACTTGGTAAGTGGGTCTTGGCTTGAATGTGGATTATGTTTTGTCGTTGAATCCCTACTGTTATTTTTCCTCCTTTTAATGAGAAATTACACTGAATGTGCTCTTCTCAGATGCCACTTAAGATTCGGAGCCAGCGGCCCGACAGAACCGGAACCACCGGCCCTTGACGTCTTCACACTAATTGCCATTTTTTATTCCCGCCACGCATGGCGAGTCCTCCCCGGGTTCGCCCTCCAGCCGCGTGTTTTTTCCCTCCAGACCGCCACCAAAACAAATAACAGACGGCTTCTGTTCATTGCAGCTCTGTTGAAAAATAGGTTTCAACCTCTAATCCGTGTGTCTGACTTTCTTTTTCTCTTGCAACCCCCTATCCCCCCCCCATCCCGTCCCCAGACCACCAAGGCAGTGAACAAAGGCGACTTCCCGCTGGCCAACATCGCCTCCCGGCGTGCTTTGTTCCTCGCCGCCCTCTCCATCACCATCGGCACCGGCGTGTACGTGGGGGTGGTGGTGGCGCTCATCGCCTACCTTTCTAAACCGGGGACACATATAGCAGCCGGCAACCCTCCTTCCGACGCACCTCCGGGGGTCCCAGGGGGGAGAACGAGCGCCTGGTGGGAACGCCGTGGCTCCTGCAGACTTTTGTGGAAAGGGTTTGTGTTTTTTTTTGGGGGGGGGGGGGTGTGGTAGGATTTGCAGTCTTTCCCTCCGTCTTCGTTTCCCTCCAGCTTCTCTCTCCCTGCGGGCAGCTAGTTAGATTACTGCCCACGCTGACTGGGGGGGAAGGTCCAGCTGGAGGGGGACAAGCCACAGAGAAAGTCCTGTCGTCGCCGTTGAGTCGGGGAAAAAAGGGTTTGAGTGACAGATGTCCCATTGACTTCATCCTCTTTTGGGACGTTTTTTTTTTTTTTTTTTAAACTTCTGAAGACAACCACGGAAACACCGGAGGAGGAAAGACTGAGGCGAGGGCGCCAGTCCGCCTGATCAACGCGCATCACCCTTAAAATCAACTCTATGTCGTCATCGCCTGAGCTGCAGTTTAACGTGGGTGGATCTCCTTGAGCCGCCCTCATTGACTCCAACACGCCGAGGAAGGTCGCGGTGGACGGCCACGCTCACGCCCTCTTAGATCATCGCCATGGAGGGGTGTTGTTTTTGGAGAAATGTCCGAAAATTTAAAAAAAAAAGAGAAACTTGTGACTATAATTCCAAGCAAAGACGATCAAGGCTCCGAGAAGAAGAACAACAAAAAAAAAAAAAATCAAACGTGATTAGAGGCCGTTTTTGGACGCAGGTACTTTACCTCTGAGGAGGTGTCCATCCGTCAAAGACACGTCTATCTAACAATATCACTTGGAGACAGACAAGGTTTGCCTACATGCAAATGTGCTTTGTTTTTACGTTTGTCTTGTTGTGTTGCCTGACTCTCTAAAAGGCACCCGGATTGACCTTTAAAGAACGTCCCTTTGTAGCCTTAAAGCACCGGTGGATCCCCAAAACGCTGGCAAGGTGGCCTGGAACGAAACGTCCGCCACCACAAGTGGACATTGTCATTAAAAGGCGGGCCTCGCCTGTCCTCCAGGGCCGTGCGTACAGTCGGACAGCTTGGAATTAACCTGTGATCAATCGTTCTTTGCATGACTCTATGCCGGCAGTAAACTGCTACGCATGATTAATTGGCTGTACAACTTGTTTCAGTCAGATAATGACCCAAAAAAAAAAAGCCTCAATTCAAATTGATCAGGCTGTGAAACGTGAAATCACATCCCCCAATCAGGATATTCCACGGCAGTTACAGTATCGAGGCGCTTCAATCCGTCCCTTCGGACCATCAGCTCTCTCTGTGTGAAGGGATTTCGGTTGGTGTTGTCGTGTTGTGGAGCCGGGGAAGCAGGTGACGTCGGGGCCTCCATCAGTCATACGTGACATTCACGGTGCACAATTGTCTCTCTGTAATGAGGTTGTTTTTTTTTTCTGAAGGAACGTGTGCTCTCTGGAGCGCAGCCCTAAAATAGCACAAACGCATTAATTTCACTAATAAGCCACTTTTGGCCTCGCTGGTTGTTGTCAAACTCTGCAAGTAAACAATCCATTAACACATCCTCGGCTCTGCGAACATTCTAATGTAACCACGTTAAGTCGGTGCTGCCGTGCTAATGAAGACTGATTCTGCTCTCCGCCGACGATTCCAGCGCGCTTTGCTTAAATAAAATAAAAAAAATGCAGCTAAGACTCCGAGCATTTCCTTTGCAGTGTATTTCTGGCTTCCTGTGTGAATTAGCAAGCAGGCAGTCAGAAGCTGAATGCCGAAGGGTGTCATCTGAAAAACCTGCTCATCACACTGTGTATGTTTGGCCTTACGACCCCTGACCCCTGACCCCGTTCGGGCCACGTGTTCGCAGTGGAAGCTCCTCACAGACACGTGCTTTTGTGTGATGTAGGCCGTCGCTCAAAAGGCGGCGTGATTTTAATCGCGTTTCTTTTGCAACCCGGTATCGTGCAACGTGTCACAGCGGCGCGTTTCACTTCTGTTTTTCTCTTTTTTCTCGTTGTGATGAGTTTGTGTGCCCATGAACTTTGCTCACTGCATTCCTCGACCCGCGGGTCGTAATGCTCTCTCTGTGTCGCGCTCTAAAGCCGAATTAAAGAAGACGACGTGTTTTTAATTCAGCTCATGTTTTGGGGACGTCTATTCCTATCTTGTGTGAAGGCAACGTGTACATAGTGCAAATAAAGACATGTTCAAATGTAATGACAAATAAATCAGAAAGGAAGGATGTCCTTTCTTAAAAGCGAAAGATGTTTGTTTTTTCTATGGTTTACATAACGTGAAGCTCCATTAGGTCAGATTCATATCCTAAAAAACCCTCCACGGCCTGAGAGAACAGGCCCAGTAATTGAGATGCTTGAATTGTCCTTAAAACAATAGCAAACACAGACTGAGTCACGGAGTGTGGGTGGTTTCGCTAGAAATATGGACGAGCAGCTCGGGAATTTGTGGCTGCAGTTTGCAGCGATGTGCTGTCGAGCACTCGGCTCACAATCCCACACACGGAATATTACATGCAAAAGGACAAGCTCGCATTTCACAATGTTACTTTACTGTATTTCCCATGTCGAAAACTAATCTTGTCTAATAGAGCTTCAGTGGGTCATGTGATGAATTATCCACAACAGTGGTCGTCTCCTCGCCCACATCCTTTAAACTGTTTAGCATTTTTATATACACCAGCAAACTTACTATAACCCAAGAGCTAATTCTGAGCTTTTTTATCCACAACTAGTTCACCTGTTAGCATAATTCACGTAATGGATTATGCTCAAAAGAATAGTATAGTTCATTACTGTTACCTATGACAATAGTTCATTGGTTGGTTTCTTGATTACACATATTATATAGATGTCTTGCACTAAACGGCCCCAACAGCAGAAGAGATGGAAGGGGAATGGTTTGTATCCCAGGATACGCGCCTCACGCGCCGTTTGCTAAAGGAGATCATGGATCCAGGCTATTAAAAGGTCAAATCTGGGTCACACCGGTGAAACTATACAGTATTGGTTCAGCTGTCGGGCAACGCTCCAGTTTATCGTTGACGTGAAGCGAGCGTACCGATCTGTTACTCAGCTAGCCGCTGGTAGCATCGAGACGCCTTTGGGACTCCATTTTCGTGGCCTGGTCACGAAACAGAGTAGGCAGAGTAGGAAACATTTGGTGCACTTCAGTCGTCGGCAACTCCTTGAAGTTTGCCGCTTTCTGCCCCCTGCTAATCGCCGACCCGCGACCTTCAATGACCAACGCAAAACCATCTCCCCGTGGGAGGAACGAGCTGAAGCCGAAAGCGCCTGTGTCAGAGCCGACTATGAGGTCATGCAGGTTGAGCGAGGACGGGGAAAAGGTCTCGCTGCTCATCCGTGAATAAGGAGTGAGTCACGAGTGTCTCCGTCAGGGAACGACGGATGATGTAGAGACGCCTGCCGCGTCGTCAGGGGTGAGGAACGCTCAGATAAAACAACACGAGGAACAGCGCTCCACTCCCCCCCGTCCCCTTCGCCGGGGTTATGTTAAACAGGGCCGCGCTCGACGCGGGTTGAATTAATAAGCACGGCGGATCAAAAGAACGCTCGTGTTTTCCCAGCATTCAGCGACTTCGACTGAGCAAACAAAAACTGAGCGGGGAAATCATTTTCCGTGTTGTTTGTCTGGTTCGCGCAAAAGGGATTTCACGTCTTTTTCTTTAAAGGCGATTTGTGAAGGTGGCTCATCTTCAGAAGATGCGCCCGTTAGTGAGTAGAGCTCCAGCTAGAATCATCACGAGCGTTCAATCGTTACCAGAGTCGCTCTTAATCATTTTCAACAGCCGTTTCTTGGTGGAGCTCGTGGAAGATTATGGCGTGCGAGAGAAGCGCCAGGTTTCGTTTGCTTCCCCCTTGTTTCTAAAAAGGAAGCTAATGGCGCGTTTCCACCGAACGGTACGGGTCGGGTCTGTTAACCATGATTTGGCGAGCGCTTCCACCGCCAACAGTACCCTTACTTGATAGGCGTGGTGTATGACGGAAAGTAGATTGACGTCATTCGATCGCGCGTAAACTGAAAGCTAACAGCAAAGAACGACGGAGGACATACAGCCGATCCTGTTCCTGCTTCTCCATATGTGGCTGTTTGTCACAAGGAGACGACACTCTTTGTTTGAGCAAAGGCTACACGCTGCAGGTGTGTTACGTGACACTCTTTCAACCAATCAACGCTCTGCAGTGAGTCTAGCTCCGCCCTTTAGTACCAAACCACTGTGCCAGGTGCCCCAACAGAAGGGTACCCAATGAGTGCGACGGTACGGTTTGGATCTTTGGTACCATTCTCAACTTTTGGCAGTGGAGACACAAATAAAAGGGTACCGACCCGACCCGCTCGGTGGAAACGCGCCATAAGATGCTGAACTTTGGTCTTTTTTGAGATTGGATATTGCATTTGAACGGTTCCGTCCGCATTGTGCGAGCTCTCCACACATGACAGGAACGGAAATGCGGGTCGGCTTCGTCCTCGTGCTTTAATTGGAGCTTCGCACTGCAGGTGTCTTCACTGCTCCCCGGAGAGAACACACGCTTTCGTGACCCACAAGACATAAACAGGGGAGGAAAGAGACTAATTGCAAATGTTATGGAATTGTTTCGCTTGCAGGCCGGTGGTTTTTCCGGCGATCGCGGACGTAAATGAGAGCAACTCTGAGGCTCCAAACCCTTTGAGGTTTGAGTATTCCACTGAGATTTCATATCAACCAGGAAGCTGTAAAATAAAAAGTAACTCCTCTTATTGAGGTAATTTCCCTCCAGTTGTAAAACACATTTTAGAATATCAATATTTGATGAATCTACTGGCTTCAGGTTCATGATGCAACTTTAGTTTTTCACTGACAAAAGAAGAGTTTTTTTGCACAGATTCCAACCTCAGAAGAAGAGGCTCATTTAGCTTTCCGCTGTCAAAGGTTGTGGTTGTGGTTTGTAACATGACTTCATGAATGTAAAATGATGTTAGTGGCCACTGGTTTGTTTACTGAAAGGAAACTAAATGTCTCAAAAGCCCCAAAGGTTCTGTTCCGTTTGGCTCCATTTAGCTCCCGAGGCTCCGGATAGATCCCAGAAGCATTCTGCTCATGGAGAGAAAACCTTATTCCAACTGATCGCCGTACCTTTACTTCTACAACCACTCTCTATATTTAAACAGATTCTTTGTTTGTGGGTATATTCACCTGCAAGAAATTCCCGTCCCCGCTGAATAAGACAAATTACAAGTGCTGCATTTTTCAGCCATGTATGAGAAACAGCAGGAAATATCAGTTGAACACGAATCGTCACTGTAGTTTTAGAAGCAAATGCGCTTTTGGTAAGATTGTGTAAGCAGAAGATCTCTCTAATCACCATCGGGATCGTGGAACATCTCAAGAAATAATGTGGAAGCTTATCGGGAGTCTGAACTTACTCTCTTACAGAAATGCCTGAATCAGATTGTGCAATTATTTGAACATGTTAATGTTCTTCCTCTCAGGGCCGCACCGTGATTGTTGACTTCCTCGCAGCAGCGGTTTCTTCATGCGGGCAGATATCCGGCTGTTAATGCTGTTGAAAGAACGAGTGAATAATGCAGCCGGGGAACCGGAGAAAAGAGGAAAAAAACAACTCTCTCATCCGTGACCTCTCGGCGAGCGTAGCCGCGTGTTTCCGGGCAAAAGTCCGTTCAAATGCGATAAAAAAAAAAGCTCTTTTACATAATAATGTTTTCACATAAGTTGGCCGTTTATCTTGGTTCTGCACTCGTCAGTTTGTCTGTGGGCAAAGGGGGAGTAAAAGGGGGGGCGAGATGGAACTAATGTTACGGGTTTTCGCAGCCTGCGGGACGGGAAAGGGCCAGATACCTCCGTTAAAGATTTATTCACCAACTCAAAGCGCAAGCAAGGAAGAGTGAGAGAGAGAGAGAGAGAGAGAGAGCGGCAACCGGGAGGCCGTTTGCACGTGTGCAGCCATTGGACGGCGGTCAGAGGACGCTGAAGGGAACGTGTGCTTTTCTGGATAAGATAAGATTGTGTAAACGTCGACAAAGCTGCAGGCGGCGAGGAGCCTCACGCTGCGCGTTACATCGTGCAGCTTCTTACACCTGTGGAGCCTTTGCTTTGCTGGGGTGTGTTTTCGTTATACTTGTTCGTACTGAAGCCACAGCCACTTAGCTTAGCATCAGCACTAAACGGGCGAGGCGAAAAGATTGCATTTGGGCGGCTCCAATGTGATGATACATCTATTCTGAATCCTCACAGAAACGGTGAAGAAACCTAATGAAATATGACGTAAGATTCATGTCAAGCCTGTAAGCATCTTGTATTAACCGTACAGACACGAGGGAGGCGTTGATCCAATGAGCCATCACCCGAGACGAAATCTACACCTGCCAGGATTTGGTTCATAACAGTAAAAATAAGGCCGAGATTTTAGAGGATTTCTCTGTATATTTTGTGTCTCAGAACAAGTGATTAACAGTTGCAACCTGCCGTGCAGCAAACACAAGCAAGTAAAATCCCACTCAGCCATTTGAATATTCCGCCTGTGGCAAAAGCCCGTCAGTTGTTGCTTCAGAAAGAATCTTTTTTTTCCCCTCCGTATTTGCTTTTGTGCGCGCTCAGGTCGGTCTGCCTTGTAAACATTTAGGAGCGGTCGCGACCGTCTACGAGATTCAAAAAGCCATCTTCTTCAGGGTGACAGGCGATACGATGGACCTGCTGCCGCGTGTGTCTGGTGACGGATGCCGATTCTGAAGACGCTGCCTTCCAAAATAAAAAGAACACATTTTTCTTCCCCCCGGCTCACCAGAGGAACGCTTCTGATGTGGAAGGCGAAACGCAGCGGGCTCAACGCGTTGGATTAAAACGTCATTAACTGAGACATTGAAAAGGGAATCAGCACAGCGGTTAAAGGGGCTCGGTCCTTTCACGCCGTCGCAGGTAGACGGCAGAGCTGCTGCTCATCAAAACCAGCAGTTTGCCTTGAGCAGTGATGCGCCGCAGGGGGGGATACTAATAATAATCAACTGCATTTATGACGGTATGGTGTTAATTGAGAGCAATCGAATGTCTACAAGGCAAAACTGACTTTCCAATGTCAAGGTTGCATCAGTGGGAGGACCGAGTCGATTATCTTGACCCTGCTGTCACACAAAGCTCCCAGCGCCCGAACACGTCATCAGTGTGTGTGAGATTCAATAAGTGACCGTCCTAGATCGACTTCTCCGTGTAATAAAGTGCTCGTGGAATGTCAT